TATACGATGAATGTTACATGCTAAGGAGTAGTAATTCACACAATCACATAGTTCACAAAATACACATTTCACACAATGCTTCACAACACACTCTTCATTCATAAAACACAACATCAAATCAAGATAGTGCAATGTAATACAATCGATAGCAACTAAATGCATGTGGTACCATCAGGGCGTAAGCCCTTTCTAGAATGCCAAATAGGGCAACAAAAGGGCATAAACTCTCAATATAACGCCATTACATGCCAACAACAGGGCATAAGCCCTCACCAATGAATGCATGCATAATCAACATGCAACACCACAACTATGCAACCACAAGGCATAAGTCTTTCACATTTGCCAATAAGGCCGCCAATATTATTGCCATCATGCAACATACAAATCCACACAAGGTTCCACATTTTAACCTAATATTCATTATTACTAGCCTTCCTATATCTACTTAAGTCATACTATTCAATACAGATCACGGAAAATTACACTGCACGAGAAAACGGGAAAAAAATCACGAAAACAATTTTTTTTGCACACCAGCCTGCCCACACGCGTACCATACGCGTTTGGCTCTATTCCCGTCCATCTCATACGCGTTTGGCGAAAACAGCCAGATCGCATACGTGTATCATACGCATTCTGCTCCTGCGTCCAGACCTCACATGCATACCATACGCGTATGACCAGAGGTGTTATTCTCCAAACTTTTTTCAAAAACCTCCCATACGCGTACGACCATCCCATATGCGTTTTGCCTCCCCTTCATACGCGTATCATATGCGTACCGGTAGAAGGTCGTGGTGGCACTGGGGACAGGGTGTGTTCCATACGCGGATGGCCCTTGGGAACGTCCCCCATACACGTATGGCCAATCAACTACATCAAAAATTCTACTATCGCACCAGAACGATTTCCACTCGTTTTGAGCACTTCGAACCTCCTAATTTGGTTCCAAAACATGTTTTCTACTTAACAAATAATAATAATAGTGGAATAATTAAAATAGTAATAATAATAATAATAATAACGACTATATTATTACTACTAATAATATTATTAGTGGTACTATACCATATATCTAATAATATTCTTATTAATAATTAGAGTATATTCCATCATTCACCAATATTATTATTTTTACACCATGGACTAGGTTTTATTCTATTTATCTAATTAAAACTAAGTTCTCACATACCCTTAGTCATGCCTACCTACCCTTAATTATACTAAAATAATTGAAAATCAACAAACAATGACTAAATATTTAAATGGGGCGTTATAGTTTTGGTCTTGAACATGTCTGAACTTTCCAAAGACGCAATAAACCAATCTTCAATTATGTTAATTGAAAATCTTTGATTGATTGAATCCTGACCAAATCAAAATATCTCAAATTTAATCTTGCTAAAAGAGATTTTGAGCAACACTTCCTTATTCCAAAAAGCGCACAAAAGTTAAACTCTAATTAAATATAAAAGGAAACAATTCCTTAAAGGTGTGAGAATTACTCAAATTATTTTGCATGCGAAGCAACCTAAGACAAGACAGAATGTCTCGCATAATGGAGGTAATTATGCTTAACATGTTGCTTTTTTACTAAAATGTCTAGATCACATAGTGACAATATGTCTCACATCTTGGCAGAATATCTTGCTTTACATGTTGCCAATCATATGTAATAACAATAACCACCAACGACTCAAAATTAAGTGATCACTTGTATGTAGAGGTGAATGATGTCTTTGAAAGTCTCACTGTTGAAGTTTCCTAATTAGAGGAATCAACGTAATTAAGTATCAGACAATAGTCATAGTAGACACGAACATCTAACTCCTACTCCTATATTGAGAAGGTCTACTCGACCTCATGTTCATAATAGGAGATACATGAACTACGTGTTGATGAATAATGCAGGCGAGCCTTAAGAAAGTTGAGGCACCACATAAATTTGCTGAATGTCGGAGATGATCGGAAGTTGGATTTCATACAGTTTGGTTGTGAGAATCACATTGAAAGATTAGGAATTATTTCAGAGGTTTCTTGGTGAGCTTTGGGTGAACTTGAGACCAAGGCTGTTTGAGTATATTCCCGGAGGCTTGCATAACTAACCCTCACGTCAGTTATGATAGCAGTAGGTCATTTAGCCGTGCTGAGCCAGCCTGTCAGCTCTCATTTGTAAACTTATGCTTTATCTTTTTCACCGCTATTTCTGTTTCTGGGTTTTCAGAGTTTTATTGCTTTAATGGTTACAACTTACAAATGACAAACACATTTCTTGAAAATTACAATATTGTATTACAGATTAATGACTTATGTTGTATAAAAAGTAAATGACCTGCTTTATATTAAAAATATGCACTTTCATGGCAGGTTACCATATGAGAACTTGAAACCAGACATAACCTGCACAAGAGATTCTTCTTCAATTCCACTACATTATCTATGGCACCCGTCCTAGCCCTAAAAACATTTCTCCTTCATACATGCAATAAACAGAAACTGCAATCCGAATTCAAACATGCGATCCAAAGTGAAAAATTGGACTGAACTGCAGAAAATTTCAAAGCCCAAACTCATCAGAACAAAAAAGAATACTTAGAATTCTGATATGAAAATTTGAACAAAAAGATTTTAATAAAAACTGATATATACACCGGCACTCCTTAATCGAATTTGATAATATTAGTAATAAAATAAATCTTATATGGAAGAGGTATAGACCTGTCATAGTCTTGCGGAGAAATATACTATAATGTTCATTCAGTTATGCTTGTTGGAGATCAGCTACTTCTTGTCCATGCTATATCTTCTTAATAATCTACATTCATTTGGTAATAAACACATTACAACAGGAAATGGCATATCTGGATTGATATGATGCACTGCGTACACATATATAGCTGCCTGGTGGTAAAATATTGAACTTCGAGCCCATGGCATAACTGATGATAATTTTCGCTGTCAAAGAATCTTGTTCCGGCACTAGCAGCAACCTACCTAATCAAACATAGAGAAAAGTGAGAGAATTTGGATTTAAACAAGTGCTACAAAAGAGCATATTATAGGATTAGAATTAGAAACACCGTGAAGTAAATTATTTTCCTTCTGCATGTAATTTTACTGTCTTGCTTGCCAATTAGGATAACTCAACTCCAATGACTCTGAAAGCCTTGAAATTAGTGACCGGAAGGAAAAGAGTTAATCTTAAATTCTTGATTCAGTAGTTCACTTGAATCATCTTCATTCTGATTATTATCTTCAGCAGTTGGAATGTCAAATCTACCCTCGAATTCCACATTAACCATTAGTTCTTCCCAGAACCCTTCATCATCAAGTACGCTTTCCATCCTCTCTTGTAATTCTAGTGCCTCAGGTTTATTGTCCTGGCCCCTTCCGAAAACCTTCATTTCCGTAGCTAGCAATTCCAACTCCGACACAGAAAATTCATTATCACCTAATTCTGAAGGCTCGACTTTTACAGTGCTTCGTCTTTCTTCACCTGCAATTAACCTTCTCTTTTTGGCCATGGTTTCTTCAAGCTCTTTTTTCTTCTCTTTTTGTTGGAGAAGTTGGTGAATTATTGCAGGGTTTTTCACAACTCTATCTAAGAACGACATCATTTGTTTCTGATAGACTTCTACCCCTTGTAACCTTTGCTCCATCTCTAGAAGGTACAGTGTGGCCTTATATTGTTTCTGTCTAAGACTCACAAGCTCCTTCATCAATACCTGTTTCTCTTGCCTTAAACGATCAATTTCCGCGTGTACTCCAAAACAGTCAATAGGCTGAGAAGGTCCCTTCTTTCTCCTTATGTTCCTCAACAAATGTTTGTGCCCTCTTAGGAATCCTTCATTCGCAAACTCCCATTTATGTGGATCTATTTTCCTAAAACCCTGTAAAATATTGCACACCACAAGTCCACAATCAGTATGAGAAAATCCAACCCAGAAACCAAACTAGCAGCAAATACAGATCATTCAACTGCCTTAAACCTTTCAAACAGACAAAACTGTGATCAAGTCGCTCAATTAATCAAACCATACATAGATGTCAGTATTACTAGTTCACGGTTCAACCAGTTGAATCACGATTCATTCTTTTTCATAGAAAAAACATGTAACTATACTAGATGAGAAACTACTAATTAGAAGAAACAAACAACAAAAGCAAGTGTTTACTTACGTAAGTGTTTAGTTGTCTGACAAAGCTTGAGAAATTATTATGTTTGAAGTATCTGGGAAGAAGATCATTGGAGAAGGCACGTGGATCCCAAATCACAAAGCTGGTGCCACCTCTGCTCCACGAAACTACATGATTGGTACTTTGATCATTCACTACATCAAATGTTTTGATGAGGAATGGTTGAGGTCTAATTTCATGAAGTCCTTCAATTGCTTGGGGTGGTGGACTCAATTCACATCCGAATCCAAATGACGATGAAAATGGTTCTATGTATTCTTCTTTCACAGAGAACATATCATTCATTGTCAATCAAAATAGAATATAAAAGTCTTGGATCATAGAGTGAAAGGTTTAAAGGATTTTATACATTCATAGAGTAAAATAGTGAGTGTCCTGAAAGATAATAATTGAATAGAAAATTCTAGATATTTTATGATAAAACTGAATTAACACTCGCTCATGTGGTAGATATATAGCACCAACGCCTGCTCTAATAAATAAATTAGTGATTTCTTTTAATTTATTTATTTTATTCAAATTATTACTAATATCCTATTGTGTTTGTGTAAGTGTAGTCTTTTTCGAATTGTCTCTGCTGACTAGTTTAGCAGTTGAATGAAATGGAAATTTCTAGACGTTACAAAGAGAAAGATCAAGCACCTTCTTAACACTTTCCAATAACAACCGTGACCTAATCGACTAAATGTGACCGGTAAAAAAAAAGGCGCGATTCTATATGCTTTGGTGCAATCGGAAAATCTGATTGTAATAGAGTTGAAATCTTGAAAAACTAAAATCGATGCTTGAATTTTTCAGATATGATTAGAAGGATTTCATCGAATTACCTATTCTTCGCGTTAGGGTTTCTGCTTTCCACCGCAATCCCGTTCGCTAACGGTGAATCATCCACATGCTTGACGGTTTACAAAAACGGCGGTGCTCCGGCGGTGTTCCAATCCCCGAAATGCCCCCGCTGGAGACTCTTCGATTACGATTCTCCTCGTCAAACTACAACGCGTTGCCAGTCCTCGATGCTCCAGGGACGAAGAAAATCACAAGAGGATCGCACTCTTTGCGTCCTCGATGTTCGCATTCCGTTCCCCGGTAAACTATTCACTATTCGAATTTCTTTTCTGTTTCGTGTTCTAGAGGCTTCATCGCAAGGTTTATTTCTGATTCTATGTGTTTGATGCTGGAACAGGTCCGGTGGGGGTTAGGGAGGTTGTAGTTGGAATTGTGGCGGTTTTCGATGGTCATAACGGTGCTGAAGCTAGTGAGATGGCGTCGAAACTTTTGATGGAGTATTTTGTTCTGCATACTTATTTTCTTCTTGATGCTATGTATTCTGTTATATCGAAGACTTCGACAGGAACATTGCTTCACAGGCGAGACCATGATCATGTAAACTTATTGCATAGATGGAAAGAAATTTTAGGTTGGCAATGGCATGAACTGCATTCTGAAAGGTGGTTTTGTAATTGCACCTATAACAGAATTTAGTTTCTCTTATTTGTATGTATGTATCTCATCAAAAATTACTTTTCCAGGTTGCGGAATGTATTTTCTGCTAATTTTGATGATTCTATTCACTTGGAAATTTTGAAGGAAGCATTGTTGAGAGCAATCCGTGATATTGATGCAAAGTTTTCTGAGGTAAGGTTGAATATTTGTTCACTTTTGCACAACTTTATTTGATACATTTTTCGTATGTGTTCTTTTATTGACATCTTTCAATTGAACTATGAAGGAAGCCTCTAGAAATAACCTTCATTCAGGATCTACAGCAACAGTTGTATTGGTTGCTGACGATAAATTTTTGGTTGCCAATATTGGAGACTCTAAGGCTTTCTTGTGCTCTGAAAATTTTCAGTCTCCTAAGGAGGCTAAAGGTGAGAAAGATTATGAGATACAGTATAACAAAACTTCGATTATTAAAGTTTATCATGTCTCTATTAGGATATTGCATAAATATTATGTTGCTCCTTGATTCTGTCTAAACATATAAATATGGATATAATATTATGTGTGGTTATGATAAGGTACCAGCAAACTTTTTATTTAAAGAAAACATGACTATTTTTGTTAATTTTAATGTATATTTCCGTAGCCTCCTTATTAAAGCTATATAGGCAGACAGAGCGTGATGGTTCTGTTTCTGTGTGGGATCGTGAAAAGTATAGATTAGCTTCTTCCCACGGGCTCAATCATTTTGCAGTGAAGGAATTGACTAGGGATCATCATCCAGACAGAGAGGATGAAAGAACTCGGGTGGAAGCTTCTGGTGGTCAAGTTCTAAATTGGGGTGGTTTGCCTCGTGTAAATGGTCAGTTGGCCATTACACGAGCTATCGGTGATGTGTTATTTAAAAGGTAGGTTCAGTGGAAATTATTTTCATAAACTCCAAGCTTATATCAACCTATCAAGTGTATCTGCAGCCTTATGTGTGCAATGCGGTTCATGTTGGAGATTGTTAGAATTCTTATTTTCTCATGAATGTGATGAGAGAATTCTCAACTGAATTCTCTTGATTTCTGTATTGTATTTTTGTTGGCTGTGATTACAAACGACTTAGATCTATTTATAGAATCACCATAGGTCTCAACTGAGTTAGTTACAAGACTCCTTAAATCTAGGGATTAGTTTCCTAGATTTTAGGGTTAGTTAGGGGAAGTTAGATAGGCTATGTACTGTGCAGCTAGTGCACAGTAATTACAATGTGGATTGGTTAATACCAGTTCCTTTAAACCAACTATTGGTCTTGTATTAAAATTAATTGTAAAATGGTAGGGAAGGACATGTGCTTTGTCCAGGCTTCAAAATCAAAACACTAATGCGTGTGGAGCTAACAAAATTAAAATTTCAGGGTGACTTGTTTTTACAATTGTGTAACACATTTCTTATAATGAACTTTCAACAGTTATGGAGTTATATCTGTCCCAGAAGTGACTGATTGGCAGCCTCTAACTGCTAATGATAGCTACTTGGTGGCTGCATCTGATGGGGTCTTTGAGAAGTTGAGTGTGCAAAATGTTTGTGATTTATTGTGGGAAGTACACCGCTTTAGGGACATGAGATCAGAGTGCACTTCTTCATCTTCCTATTCATTAGCAGATCTAATTATTGATGCTGCCTTTGAAAAGGGCAGTATGGACAATATGGCAGCAGTCGTTGTTCCTCTGGAATCGGCCAACTCTTCTGGGAACTCGCTTAGAAGAAGCTACACTGAAAATGGTGATGCAGGTTTCCCATTATTTGGTATGCAGGAATCTGCTTACAGAAGCTCAGGTATGTAACTTTCATGGATTTAAACAATGAAATAAGTGCAGAAGCTCATTTAGTCCCAGCTGTGACGATTGTTAATGCATGTCAGTTTATCCATAATGAATTAAATGTATAACTTTCATGGATTTAAACAATGAATTAAATGTAGAAGCTTATTTACTCCTCGTGACGATTGTTATTGCATGTCAGTTTATCCATAATGAATTAAATGTATATGATAGTATCAACAAACAAGGTTCCGTTCACTTTTTTTGTCATTAAACATGAAATTAATGTATATACTATTACCCTGACCTCTCCTGCAGTTTTCAAAACCTTTGTTTCACTGCATTTAACTCCCTTGTCTTAATTTTTTATCAAACCAATACCCCCACGTTATAATTATTCCATATGCCTACTGTCCCTTCACACAAGCTTGACAATTTTACTCAAATGAGTTTTTTAAGTTTCCAAAATTTTGACAAGTAAAACCATTAAAAAAAAAAGTAAATTGAGATGAAGAGGAGAAAACTTACAAAGGTAAAGAAGGATAATCCCAAACAAAACAATAAAGGAAACAATCAAGGAAAACGCAAAAATATATTCTAGCATAAATGATTAAGGAAGAACTAAAGAAGGCGGGAGCATGGCAAGAGCAATTGGGGAAAAAGGCTCACAAGTCACAGGAATACCTAAAGAAGAAAGGGAATAAACGTAAAAGGAAGAAATTTTAGATTCGAAGATGGTTACTCTTTAAAAAATCTCCGTAAAAGCTCTCAAGAAGCCCCTTTTATTCGGTTTTACATCTTTTAAAGGAAACTATCTTTGGCACAACTACGTTTAAGGAGGAGATGGAAAAAAGGTTAGGCCAAATAAGCTATTACTATTAGTGACGTGCAATAGCAAGTAGATACATACAATACACATGCTATATGTGCTAGTTCTATTAATTGACACGGTTTTACAGAGCTTATCTTTTCTAGATGTCACATTTGGTGTGCATTTGTGCTTTTGTGATGTTCATATTTGTTGGAATTACCGCCTTAGTTGCGGTATGCCCTTAGTCGCCTAAATTGCGGCATTTGACTTGCCTTTGCTGCAGCCTCCAACACTTAAATCGTGTTGGGTTTGAAGGGGTGGATTTAGTCCCACATTGCTTAGAGATAGAGATATGGCATGTGTTGTGTTTATAAATGGGGAAAATCCCCACCTTACAAGTTGGTTTTGTAGAGATAAGTTAGGTCCAACCTAAATTATGAGTCTTAGAATGTGTGAGTTGGGCCTAATTCAACCCTACAAAACCGGCTCATCACTACCAGTTATGATAATATCACTACATACACAATAAGATAAATACACCATTGGGCTAAGTGACGATAAAAGACAGACTGGTCAACTTCACTACGAACCTTACCAAATTGTTGTACTATAGTGCTGAATCTGTCAAACCAAGCTCTCGGAGATTGCTTAAGACCATAAAGAGATCTGTGTAGCCTACAAACCATATTCGATGACTCCCCCTGAGCAACAAACCCAGGTGGTTGCTCCATATATACTTCCTCTTCAAGATCATCATGTAAAAATGCATTTTTGATGTCAAGTTGATGAAGAGGCCGATGTCGAATGGTTGCAATGGCTAGAAGAAGTCTAACAAATGCCATCTTGGCTACAGGCGAGAAGGTATCACTATAATCCAATCCAAAAATCTGAGTGTATCCTTTTGGCTATCAAGCGAGCTTTAAAACGATCAATCTTACCATCTGCACCAACCTTCACTGTATAAAACCAACGACAACCTACTAAAGATTTTCCAGTGGGTAGAGGAACCAGTTCCCAGGTACCACTGTTTTGAAGAGCACACAGAGCACACATTTCATCAATCATTGTTTGCCTCCACTCAGGGTGAGATAATGCTTCACCTGGAGATTTAGAAATAGAAACAGAAGACAAAGAGGACAAACAAGTATACTGCAAAGGGAAAAGACGATGATAACATAAATCGATATAATGTGGAGAAGGATTTCGTGTTTGACGTATACCTCTGCGAAGGGTAATCGGAAGATCAGACTCAAGTTGCAGGATCGAATTCGGTCATGGCGATAGCGTTGGAGGAGAGTCTGCAATGACCTCAGAGACAGGTACGACCTCAGGGACATGTACAACCTCAGGGACAGGTATGACAGACGTTGGTTGACGACGCTGATATGTTTGAAGTGGGCGAGAAGTGAGGGGTCAACCGTAGGAGTTTCTCGTGGGACATGTTTCCTAGAATGATGGGGGATAATGGGAAATGGGACTTCCGGAAGAGGTGTGGGAGTATTTTCCTGAAGGAGCTCCGGAGTGACTTGGGTGGACGCGAAATATGGCACAGACTCGAAGAAGGTAACATTGGCCGATATCAGGTATTGTTGCAGAGTGTGTAAGTAGCAACAATAACCCTTTTGGGATTGATGATAACCAAGAAGACACATTTTAGTGATCGAGCTGATAGTTTATCAAGACCAGGGGAAAGATTGTGCACAAAACATGTAGACCCGAAGACTTGAGGAGGAATTGGGTGAAGAGGAGAGTTTGAAAACAGGTTGAGTGAGGGATTTTATTATTGATAGATGAGGGCATGCGATTTATCAGGTAACACGCCGTGAGCATAATAACATCTCTCTAAAATCTGAGAGGGGCATTACCATGAAGAAGTAGAGTCCAAGTGGTTTCTACGAGATGCCGGTTTTTGCGTTCGGCTGTCCCGTTTTGTTGAGGTGAATAAGGGCAAGATGTTTGGTGCAGAATACCATTGAATGACATAAAAGTTTGAAATTGTTGGGATAAATATTTACGTGCATTGTCACTTCTTAAGGTACGAATGGACAAACCAAATTGGGTTCTTATTTCTCGATAAAGTTGTTCAAAAATAGAAAACAATTCAGATCTGTTTTTCATTAAAAATAGTCACGTGCAACGTGAAAAATCATCAATAAATGTTACAAAATACCTAGACTCAAAAGTAGACACGGTATCCAATGGACCCCAAACATCGGAGTGAACTAAAGCAAAAAGGGACGCAACTCGTTTATTGACTCGATCGGGAAAGTGACTACGAGTATGTTTCCCAAACTGACAAGACTCACAATGTAAAGTGGATAATTTAGATAAACTGGGCACCAACTTTTGTAGTTTGGGAAGACTTGGATGACCTAACTGCGCATGTATAATGAGTGGAGAATCTGTGGTGGAGCATGTGGTAGATGACGTAGATAAGTAGTAGAGGCCTTGAGACTCACATCCGACACCAATCGTCTGTCCCGAATTTCGATCCTGCAGAATAACATCACTGCTAATAAAAGTGATAGAACAATTAAGGGAACGAGTTAAACGACGGACTGACAATAGATTCAATGGACAATTATGTACATATAGGACAAAAATAACAAAGAGAGATGGTAGAATTTGAACAGTATCGATCCCTTGGGATCGGGTTTGAAAACTATTTGCGGCAGTTATACTCGGTAAGAAATCAAAGGTAGAAAGGGAAAAGAAATTTTTTTAATTACCGGTAACATGATCAGACGCACCAGAGTCGAGGACCCAAGGACCAAGAGGAGATGATTGAGAGACCCAAACAGATGAATTACTAGTGTGTGCAATCGAAGTTGTGGAACCAGAGGTTTTGGTTAGTCTGACACCACTTGATAAAGAGTTTCATCTGGCTGCAACTTGTTATAAATATCAACCGAAAACCTCTTCTTACGTAGAAACGCCATCACACATTCTCCCACATTGAAAATTTTATCTTCCATGTGTTTATCTCGCATAGGAGGAAAATTCTTTGGTAACTCATCTGTGGTGAACTCTTTGAAATGTTTTAGGACCCCTAACAGTTCTTCTGAAATTGTTGTTTTCTTCTTTACAACAATCATCACCTCTTTAGTCAATATTGGACATAAAAATCCAGTTTCTTTAACAGAATCATCAAGCTCCTTTTCACCTTGTGTCATCACCAACAAACTAGACTTATTACCTCTTGGATTCTTATCAAAGTGCAAAACAAGATCCATAACAATTTTATGTGAGCCCTATGTAAACATCATCACGTTATCCCTTCTTCGATAAGTGATATCATTATCAAATTGCCAAGGCCTACCAATTAATCATGACAAACATCTATATCAAGATTTTCATCTTTTACATCATTGATTTGCAAATGATCCACCTTTTCATCCACGTCATGAAAACGCTTACAGGCATATAGAAGTTAGTAGCTTTGAATTTTCACTTAAAAGACATAACTCCTCATATTTCAAAGCAACTGCAATTGTAATAGAATCTTCACTCACTTCAGTACAAGAATCAAATTGAGAAGAAATATCATTATCATTGAGTTGATTTTTGCAATTGATTGTGAGACTCTCATTCTATAAATGTCCTTGTGCTTCTCCTTCATATTTATCAAATTCATCATCACCATAATTTGTTTTAGTATTCTTTGCGGCCCACCATTTGACAATTTTGGACCTTGCCTTTTCAACAGTAATTGTCTCCAATTTTTTTAGTTTAGAAATGTTACTCAGGTTTGCAAGGTGTAGAACTTTTCTACAAGGTGTGTAAACTAGAAACTTTTACCAGAGAAAAAAAATCACTGAAAGGAGATGATTTCTGTAGGCCTGATTTTATTGTCCCTGTTTGATGCCTTCTGGATGGTGGACGTAGAACGAAAATTGGATTATCCAAAAGTTTTCCACCCAGTGGAAAACTAACTTGTTCTCCTCTCCCGTCTCTTCGTTGATTTCCGTTGTTGTTGGCGTTCTTCACCTGATTTGCTAAATTCGCCATTTGTTCAGTCAAAGCAGTTAGAATCCCGGTAAAAACTGCGGTAATTTCCTCAAAATCTGCTTTGGTTGTTGGTTGATTCGCCATGGTTGTCAAGCTACGAAAAGAGCAGGAGAAACCTGCTCTGATGCCAACTGACGCAGTCGGAAGTCCTAAGGAATAGCAAGCGTTAAACTTATAATGAAAACAGGGTTGCAAGCGCAAAACCTGTCAGATAAACTCTGGAGTCCACCAGGAATAAAGAAAAGTTCAAATTTTATTATATGAAAGATATCCTTATGGTCATGCCAAAGGTCTTTAAATACATAAAACAAAATAATCCTAATGGGTCTTATGGGTCTTTAATCTAAAACAAAATTAAATAAATAAAACAAATTAAATATAAATTGTTAAAATTGTAGAAAATAGTAAAATGCTATTTTCGGGTCTGAAACGAATTTAAATGGCTTAAAAATCCATATGTCACTACAAAGCAGTGAGTTGAACTTCTGGGCCAATTCCCTTTCTGAAAAGGTATAATACGAGTAATTCTAACATCAGACGCCAAACTTACATAAATCCTGCCGAACCGTTCTGACGCGCGGCTTTACCTTCGATACGCGCAGGCAGTCCTCCTATATCAAATCCTCACCTTACAAGCTGGTTTTGTAGGGATGAGTTAGGTCAAACCAAAATTATGAGAATATTCGATGAAAAAAATCAAATTTTCCACGGTATATGATGCGCTACCGGAAACTTAAATGATCAATGAAATCATTTACTTTGGTTGTTCCTTTTTGTAGTTCATGTTTTTCCTATTGATTTGTATCTTCTAATTCACTATCTGGTACTTACTCAGCTAATGATATCACCTCTGGTCTATTGCACGTGGAGCACACTCGTCTGCTAGATACCAAGTTTAAGCGAATATTGGTATGGCTGAAAACCATCAGATTTATTTTTGCCAATTTCTTCCTTATTTCTTTATCTCATACGTTGGGTGTTCCAAAGAAATTAAGGAATGCATTGGCTTTTTATGAGCAGAGAATTGTAATTTCAATTTTAGCATTAAACTCTTATCTTATGACAGTATTTTGTTTGGTGGTGGTACATGAACTGTGGGCAAAAAAATTGTATTATTATTTGAGACTAAACAAATAAAGGCCCGTTCACTTTGTGAAAGCATTTTCTATTTTTCATTTCCTATAATTTGTGTTAGTTTACTTGGTACTAAGAAGAAGAGAGACAAAGAGCATTTTCTATTTTTCATTTCCTATAATTTGTGTTAGTTTACTTGGTACTAAGAAGAAGAGAGACAAAGATAAAAACGATATCCAAAGATTTTGTATTTCAGAAAATAATGAAAATAGCTCTTTGACATTTCCATTGTTTCCGGAAATGCAAGACAATGTTCACTTCATAGTATTTTCTGTTTGTTATTAATATAAATTTTAGGAAATGAAAATAGAAAATGTTTTCACAAAGTAAACAACAACTTAAGTTTTTCTATGCACCAAATTTGATAATTATCTCAATTTTTCACTTTCTTTTTTATGAGATGGATATTTTGGCTGAATTTTTAACATTTTTTATTGATACCAATTACATCTACTACCAAAAAATAGCTGTTTTTCTTTTGAAGTCTCAACTTTGCATTGAGCTACCTGTGGATTTTCAATTTTTGAGAATTTGATATCTTCTTCATTAGTGTCCGCAAAAACAAATTTTCATCCTTCTCTATACACTCTTTTGATATCATAGTAAGTTATTGCACAACAAAGATCCCTCTGGTCAAAATTAATCTGAATAAATTCCTTTTGGTTTCCTTTTATGATAGGTTGAGGTGAAACATGGTGATTTTGGATGTTTTTATTTAGCAGAAAATCTTGATGATTCAGTGGAATCTAAATGGCCAGCCAAAAAAGATGACTGGGAAGACTATTTGTATGAACTACCCCAGCCTTTACCAAATGACCTTCATCAACAAGCTGGTAAGCAAAGATGTGATGCTAACTCACCATGTGATCTTTATGCATTTTTTAGGTTTATCTTTATTTACTGATGTTATTTTACATTTGTTTTCGTTGAATTTAAGTTTATCTGTTAACAATCAAATGTACTTTGGTTGGTTCCCTTTTCAGAAGTAGACGGCCCTATAATTTTGTACAGCGACCAAAACTTCTGCTTTTACCTGAGCTCAACTATCAATGAAGCCAAAGACCAATGCATAAATCCTGAAGGCTTTGCCAGTTTTATTGGTCTTCTTGGATCAATTCCTTTACATGATACAGGTTCAGATAATAGTTCTTCTGACTATTCGATGCCTGATTCAAGGTAAATTTATTTGGTTTGAGTTCCTATTTTGTGACACATCTATAAGCCAATGAATGATTGCTAGTAAAAGACACCGGTAGTTCTCAAGCAAAAGTTGGCTTTTTAAATCAATATACAACTCTGATATTCCCTTAAGTGTGATGTATATCGATGGCCAGTACTATAACTGTCATTATGTGCTGCTGTATGAGAGGTTTTATGTTTCCTCAGCTCAACAGTTGAGGCAATATGCATTTTGGTGTGTAGGTATATACTAAGGAGGAGTTTTGGTCGTGGATCATATGGTGAAGTATGGTTGGCTTTTCATTGGAATTGTAATCAGGATAATATTACTGCAGAAATGAGCACGGGTGACAATAGTAGGAACAGAAGCTCAAGTAGTTCTGAGTGTCTGGATGGTCCTTCTAACTACACCCTGTACATTTTGAAACGTATAATGGTAATACATTTGAGTGAAGCAGGAATATTTTTAATGGTTTCAGTTTATGGGGATCTCTTTAGGTGTCATAATGCATTGTTTCTTGTGAGAAAGAAGTATAAACGTGCAATAATTTTGCTGCCTTGCTTATTTATACAAATTATGAACTGAACATCCCGGTCTTTATTTATAGGCTTAATAGGTTTTTCTTCCTATAAACTGTTTTAGAAATTGGGTCATTGTGCTGCTATGTGGATTATTTCACCCAAGAGGAAGTTGTTCGCAGATGCAGAGGCCATGAGTGACTCACCGGTGACGCAGTCGCCCCCAAATTCTTAACTTACTCAAACACCCATATGTCAAACTACATTAAGGTCCCCTAATAACACCACTCATGACATGATAAGATGATAGGATACAACCACATCTCTTTTTTGTTCTCGCATAAGCACCTTTGTTCAATTTTTTCTTCCTTTGCTAGACTACTACTGAGTGTATGCGTGTGTTTTTCTGAGTGGTTGTGACTTGAGGGCCATTTGGTTTCCATCTCTTTTTCCTTATTGCTTCTTTTCTTTAAAATGGGGTAGCATTTGTGTTTCATTTTTGTATCGATCTATTTATAAGTTGTGGCTTCACAGGAGAAGTTATTTTGTTGTTTCTTTCTTTATTTTTGTTGCTTCCATTTCTTCTTGTCTTTTTTGGGGCTTATGATAATGCTTTTTATTAGAAAAGTAGAGAGGATGATGAATTCATAAGCTAGAATATTCTCGAACTAGAAGAGAGAGAGAGAGAAAAAATTCTATGATTGATCAAATGATTGATACATTGCAATAGCTACGGCTGCACTTTATAGGAACATATAACTAACTGAGTTAGTTACATTACAGCTATGCTTATTCAGCATAGAGTTTGTTAGAGTGCCTAATATGTTTTGCTTAACAAAACAGTTACAGACATAACTAATGCACTGACTGCATTTACTTTAATACTTTTAACATTTTTTGAATATAAATTTTAATTTAAATATAATTTTTATTATTAATATAATTTCATTTAAATATTTTTATTTAAGATAACTAATTAAATATAACTGTTTTAAAATTATTTCCTTTATTATTTTCCTTCTTTGCCTCAGTCGCTCAAATGCTGGATCTGCCCCTGGTTGCTTGCCTTATTTTATTAGTTAATTAGTTTGTCTTTCTTCAGCTTCTGTTGTGCACTTTGTCTCTGCCAACTATGTTTTTTCTCCAATTGTAATTATCTTTTAGTAAATATTTATTAAGTAGATGCATTGTTTTAGTTTTTTATTGTTATTGTCGAACTAAAAACATGTAAATATTTGATTTCATTGATTTTAATCTGAAGAATTTTGTTTTGACTTGAAATGAAAAAATGTGAAGGAAGATGAGTGAGAAAATTTGCAGTGTCTCTTTTACCTGAAATTGAAATCTGAGTTAACTGAACTGAATACACGGGAGGCTATTTATGGGGGAGGTGGGTGTTGGAAATTCCGCCTTCATTACGATTAGCCATAGTTGCTTAATTTCGGCATTTGGTTTGCCTTCATTGGAGGCTCCAACAACACCTTCATTGTGTTGGTTTTGAAGGGGTAGATTTAGTCTCACGTTGCTTAGAGATATGGTCCTTGTTGTGTTTATAAGCAGGGGCATTCCTCACCTTACAAGCCGGTTTTGTAGGGATGAGTTAAGACCAACCCACACATTTCTAAGATGGTATCAGAGTCTATCCTAGATCCGTTGTTGGACTTTCTACATCGTCCACGCTTCAGGCTCATTGAGACCTGGGCGTGAGGGGGTTTGTTGGAAATTCCGCCTCATTGTGGTTCTCCCTAGTCGCCTAATTGCGTCATTTGACTTGCCTTCATTGCAACGTCCAATACCTTCATTGTGTTGGGTTTGAAGGGGTGAATTTAGTCACACATTACTTAGAATAGGACATGTGTTGTTTTAATAAGTGGCGGCATTCCTCACCTTACAAGCCCGTTTTGTAGGGACGAGTTAGGTTCAACCCACACATTCTAAGAGGGGGTGTAACCGTTACGAATTGTTGAACACAGTAGCAACTGTTAGATTCTGTTAATAACAGAATTTCACCTACTAGAATCTGCTACAGTGAGTAACACCAAAGTAAGCTGCAATCTTGATTAATGAGGTCCAAAGGCCTAAAGCACAATATACAGAAGAACACAGAGTTATCAACAGAAAGCATAAAGCTACAACTTAACAGAAAGTATAAGCTACACTTACCTCTACTATATTCTTTATCTTTTATGCTTAGACTTTCTAAGAGGAAGTTTTGTGTTGGGGGGCACAGTATTTTTAATTATACATGTGTAAGCAGGTCACATAGATAAGTCTTAATTGTACTGAACAGGTAGAGAAAGGCTCTGCTGTGTACTTAAGTGGGCTGAGGGAAAAATATTTTGGCGAAATTTTTTTAAATGCCTCTATGTGCTTTGGAGATGTGCTATTGGCTGGAAAATCAAACTGTGTATTTGAAACATCACAACAATATGGGTCTGAGTATTCATTTCAAGACAAATTTCGACTGCAAGGTGCCATATATGAAGAAGGTTTGAACCATATTGCAAGATATGTGGAATCTTTTGAGTCTCGGTCCAATGAAATATGGCTTGTGTTCAGTTATGAAGGAGTTTCGTTGTCAAAGCTTTTATATACTGCAGAAGATGCAAACAATACAGCTGAGAAAGAAAAACTTGAGCAGGTGAAACAAGTTCAGATACTACACCCATCAAAGTGGTGGCGTTGGTTGAAAACAACAGAAGAAGGGCAAGAAGAAATGCGGAACCTTATCTGGCAGCTGGTACGTCTTCAATGTAGGTTTGTAAGGGGTATTTTTTGTTATTGTATGGTTAACTAATATATAACATATACTTTGAAACCTATGACAGCACAACACCTTTCCCCCCCTAGAAAGGATTCTACAAAGTTCAGTTGCTCGTTTTTATCATAATTACTGCTATTCTTATTTGTATTAGTTTTTATTTGGGACATACTTGTATGTTAAATGAAAGTGACCCGTGTACCCACCCAAGGAATTGAATCTTTAGATTAGATAAATTTTTACTTCAAAATTGATCCTAACCGATCCGCAAGCACCCTCAATATGGTCAACTGTTAGTGGAAAAACTTCTATTTGTCTGAATATAACCATATGAAATTTCCCAGGGATCATTGTGGTATTTATACTATTATTTTTGACAAATCCTCTCTTTTTATTTGCTCAGTTGTTGGCACTCAAGTCTTGTCATGACCGCAATATCACACACAGGGACATTAAACCTGGTAAGACATGGGGGTAGTTAGTGGTGTCTGAAGGGTGTATGTGTGTAGATTTGTAGATGAACACAATTGTTTTGCAAAGGACATCAATTAGTTGGTACTGCTCAATTTGTAGTTGTTAATTTTCCAGCAAATAGTGTAAATGCTAGGAGGATTATATTGGTTCAGCTGTTAACTTATTTTATGGAATCTGACATGTTACTATATTGTATGAGAGACCCTCTTAATCAACATATCTTCATTTTGGGTTCCTATATTTGCTACTAGTAACTAAACCGAAATCAAATCTGATGATTTAATAGTATTGAATTAGGAGAGATTAGGAGACATTTAGGTTAAACCGTGTGTTTTGAAAGTACTACAGAGACTTTATTATATATAGAGAGATTACAACTAATTACACGATATAATCGATGTGGGACTATTCTACATACAAATATTCTTAACATTATATATTTACAAATATTAACATTCCCCCTCAAGCTGGAGTATATAAGTCAAACGCACCAAGTTTGTCACATATATAATTAGTTCTAGGGCTTCGCAGAGATTTTGTAAACACATCTGCCAGTTGATCATTATAGTTGGCAAAGCTTGTGACGATGTCGCCAGATTCAATCTTCTCTCTGACAAAGTGATAGTCTATCTCAATATATTTGGTCCTCTCATGAAAGAATGAATTTGAAGCAATGTGCAATGAAGTTTGATTATCACATACAAGTGTCATTGGTCTTCTTCTTCAATTTTAAGTTCTTTGAGCAACTGTTTTAACCAAATGAGTTCACATGTTGCCATTGCCATGGCCCTATACTCTGCCTCGGCGCTTGATCTTGCAACTACATTTTGTTTCTTATTTATTCAAGATATAAGATTTCCTCCAACAAGTACACAATATCCAGAGGTGGATCGTCTATCAATTGGTGACCCCGTCCAATCAACATCAGAGTATCCAACTATCTGAGTATGTCCTTTATCTTCATACACTAAATCTTTTCCTAGAGCACATTTTGATGTATCTTAGAATTCGAATAACAACATCCATGTGTTCCTGACAAGGAGAATTTAAGAACTGGCTTACCACACTGACTGTAAAAGAAATGTCTGGACGAGTGACTGTGAGATAATTCAACTTTTCAACCAATCTCCTATACCTTCCCGAGTCTGATAGAGGCTCTCCCTGATTGGGTAGTAGTTTGACACTTGGATCCATAGGAGTGTCAACTGGTTTAGCGTTCAACGAACCTGTTTCTTCCAAAATATCCATAGCATATTTCCGCTGAGAAATCACCAAATCATCTTTAGATGGGGTTACCTCAATACCCAAGAAATACTGGAGTTTACCAAGATCCTTTGTCTGAAATTGATTTGAAAGATGTTTCAACTGAAGTATTCTCGACTCATCACTATCAGTTATGACAATATCATCTACATACACAATAAGATAAATACACTCTTGGACTGAGTGATGATAAAAAACAGAATGGTCAGCTTCACTACGGATCATACCAAATTGTTGTACTACAGTGCTGAATCTGCCAAATCAAGCTCTCGGAGATTGCTTAAGACCATAAAGAGACCTGTGTAGCCTACAAATCATATTTGATGACTCCTCCTAAGCAACAAACCCAGGTGGTTGCTCCATATATACTTCCTCTTCAAGATCACCATGTAAAAATGCATTTTTGATGTCAAGTTGATGAAGAGGCCAATGTCGAATGGCTGCAATGGCTAGAAGAAGTCTAACAGATGCCATCTTGGCTACAAGCGAGAAGGTATCACTATAATCCAACCAAAAAATCTGAGTGTATCCCTTGGCTACCAAACGTGCTTTAAAACGATCAATCTTACCATCTGGACCAACCTTCACTGTATAAAGCCAACAACAACCTATTAAAGATTTTCTAGTTGGTAGAGGAACTATTTCTCAGGTATCACTGCTTTGAAGAGCACACATTTCATCAATCATTGCTTGCCTCCACTCAGGGTGAGATAATGCTTCACCTGGAGATTTAGGAATAGAAACAGAAGACAAATAGGATAAACAAGTATACTGCAAAGGGGAAAGACGATGATAACATAAATCAATATAATGTGGAGAAGGATTTCGTGTTTGACGTATACCTTTCTTTGCGAAGGATAATCGGAAGATCAGGCTCAGGTTGTAGTGGGCGAGAAGTGGGGAGTCAACCGTAGGGGTTTCTCGTGGGACAAGTTCCCTAGAATGATGGGGAATAATGAGAAATGGGACTTCCAGAAGAGGTGTGGGAGTACTTTCCTGAAGGGGTTCCAGAGTGACTTGAGTGGACGTAAAATATGGCACAGACTCGAAGAAGGTAACATCGGCCGATATCAGGTATCGTTGCAGAGTGTGTGAGTAGCAACGATAATTCTTTTGGGATCGATGATAACCAAGAAAGACACACTTTAGTGATCGAGCAGATAGTTTATCAAGACCAGGAGAGAGATTATGCACAAAACATGTAGACCCGAAGACTCGAGGAGGAATTGTGTGAAGAGGAGAGTTTGGAAACAAGATTGAATGAGGGGTTTTATTATTAAGGACAGACGAGGGCATGCGATTTATGAGATAACACGTCGTGAGCACAACATCCCTCCAAAATCTGAGAGGGACATTACCATGGAGAAGTAGAGTTCGAGTGGTTTCTACGAGATGTCGGTTTTTGCGTTCGGCTACCCCGTTTTGTTGAGGTGTATGAGGACAAGATGTTTGGTGTAGAATACCATTGGATGACATAAAAGTTTGAAATTGTTGGGATAAATATTCACGTGCATTGTCACTTCTTAAGGTACGAATGGACAAATCAAATTGGATTCTTATTTCTCGATAAAATTGTTCAAAAATAGAAAATAATTTAGATCTGTTTTTCATTAAAAATAGCCACGTGCAACGTGAAAAATCATCAATAAATGTTACAAAATACCTAGACTCAAAAGTAGACACGGTGCGCGATGGACCCCAAACATCAGAGTGAACTAAAGCAAAAGGGGATGCAACCCGTTTATTGACTCGATCAGAAAAGTGACTACGAGTATGTTTCCCTAATTGACAAGACTCACACTGTAAAGTGGATAATTTAGATAAATTGGACACCAACTTTTGTAGCTTGGGAAGACTTGGATGACCTAATTGCGCATGTATAATGAGTGGAGAATCTGTGGTGGAGCATGTGGTAGATGACGTAGAGAAGTAGTAGAGGCCTTGAGACTCACATCCGACGCCAATCGTCTGTCCCGAACTTCGATCCTGAAGAATAACATCACTGTTAGTAAAAGTGATAGAACAATTAAAGGAACGAGTTAAACGACTGACTGACAGTAGATTAAATGAGCAATTAGATATATAGGACAAAATTAACAAAGAGAGATGGTAGAATTTGAACAGTACCGATCTCTTGGGATCGGGTTTGAGAACCATTTGCGACAGTTATACTCGGTAAGAAATCAGAGGTAGAAAGGGAAGAGAAGATTTTTATTACCGGTAACATGATCAGACGCACCAGAGTCGAGGATTCAAGGACCTAGAGGAGATGATTGAGAGACGCAAACAGATGAATTACCAGTGTGTGCAATCGAAGCCGTGGAACCAGAGGTCTGGTTAGTCTGACACCACCTGAGAAAATCCTCGTAGCTTGGCGTAGGATTCTGAAGAGAAGGTGAAATCTGCATATTGTCTGAGTTATCAATTTGAGTTGCATTTACCTGTCGTGGAGGTTTACCATGCAACTTTCAGCAACGATCGATAGTATGTCCAAGTCGGTTACAATGGTCACACTTAGGACGAGGTTTGGAGTTGGATGACCCTCTTCGAAGGAGATTCTGATTGTTGCCAAGAGATGCAAGAGCAACAGTGTCACCTGGTGTTGGAATAGCAATAGATGGAGGAGAAACCGGGCCAAACGTATGAGGTGTAGCCAAGCGCAACAATTGTTCGCTAACTGTATCATAGTTAGGAACAATAGTACCTGATAAAATCTGGTTACGAACAAATTCGAGTTCTGATGGTAGTCCTTTAAGTGTCATGACCATGAAATATTTACTCTGTTGTTCGGGATGAGCTATTGCATCTTTTGCGTAAGGCACGAGGGTTGCGTAACTTGCTTTCAAGGCATCAAGCTCTCAGATAAGCTTGCACATCCATATTTTTCAACTTCAATGTGTTGAGTTTGTGGATCACACTATATAAAGAATGAACGTCGTTGGAAAAGAGTTTCTTGGCCTTTTGTCACACCTCATAATAAGTGAAGAATGCTTGGTACTGCGCTTGGAGGTTAGGTGCTATGGTTAGATGCTCTTCATATCCTTGATCGTGAAACCACATCTCGACAGCACGAGCCCATATGTTATAGTTGGCTGATCCAGTTAGTTTTTCACATGGGATAAACGGAACTTTAGTAAACGAGACAGAATCAGTATCTCCCATGGCTTAAAACACAACAACTGGGGCTATTTGAACAAGAGTACGACTTTCTGTGAGTCGAAAACGGAAACCAAGGACGGATCTGGAACCAGAGGAGGAAGGCGATTTTCCGGAATTTTTTTTTCGTGAACAGTAGCGGCGCCGATGAACAGTGGTGGCGGCGGTGAACAGTAGTCCCCTGAAATGGGTTGTGCTTGGCGGAGGTCGCTGAAAAAAAATTTTTAAAAAACTGAGGCAAACCTGAATAATGACACGGTTTGTAGAAGAAAATTTCTCACCGGAAAATACTGGGTCAACCGGGTAAAACACGGCGAAAAATTGTCTCTTAGAAGGCTCTAGATACCATATTGAATTAGGAGAGACTAAGAGACATTTAGGTTAAACTGTGTGTTTTGAAAGCACTACGGAGACTTTATTATATATAGAGAGATTACAACTAATTACACGATATAGTCGATGTGGGACTATTCTACATACAAATATTCTTAACATTATATATTTACAAATATCAACAATAGAAATTTGTATCTCATATATGCCGGATCTTTGTCTCAATTTGTAATGAATGCTTGGTTGGTTAAAACACTTTTACGATGGCCTTTTATCCGTGGTCTGCCATCCGTGGTCCATAATAAGCCAGCCATCTGTGGTACTCTGATGTATGTCTGTTTGAATTTTCTTTTTTATTATAATATAGTGTTCAATCGAAAGAACTTGTTTCTTTGTAAAATTAACTAACTTGAGGTATTTTATTTTTGAAGAGAATATGGTGATATGCTTTGAAGATCCGGAGTCAGGGAGATGCTTGAAAGATACTCCAACAAAAATTAATAATTTTTCCACCAAAATGTACGGTGAAGTATCTTAGTTTTATTTTAGTATTCTTCTTTTATATATTTGAAGAGTTGATCTAACCTTTTTCTAAGAATTGATGGGAAACAATTTAACCTTCTGTTCTATATATTTGAAGTATGCCTAACTTGCTTCTGTTTATAGTATTATTTTATCGATTGTGTTTAATGCATATTTTAATGCAAACTGTGCATTTAGTTTTAATAGTATCCTACATAATGATCAGAACAAGTGATTTCTAGAACTCTTCGCCCAATCTGTTTCATAGCTTTAGAGTATCTAAAAGGCTCCTTGCTAACGAAATCCCTCTTTTTAATGTTTGATATTCAAGCTGGCTGAAAAACACTTCAGCTTTTTCTTCTCTTCCCTCATTCCCTAGATTTTGAATTAAGTAGGAGAATGACTGATTGTGGTCACTTGAACATTTATTTCAACTTTCAAGTAACTTTCAGCTCTAAATCTGAGATATTCAAGAAACCAAATGAATGTGCATATATAACTCCATCAATTTATCTTAATGATCCTCAGAATGTGTGTGAACTGCATGCCCTTTAAAATATTAATCTTTTACCATCTCTACCATTCAAAGATGAACAGTAGGACTTTCCATGGTGTTCAAATGTCATGTCTTCTAGATTTGCAGTTCACATCAGTAGGATTTCCCTTCTAGTCATCTCCCCGACTATTGAAGAGAATCGCTTTTTCCACATCTTTCTCACCATTGTTCTTACCATTTAAACTATCTGTAATTTGGATGTACTTATAGTGATCCTCGGTTTCAAAAAGAGAGCTATGTGACAGGCATTGAAGGAAAGATAAAGTTTAATGTTTAATGTTTAATGTTTAAGGCCATTTTGATATGCAAAATAACTGACAATTTATTAATCAGCAATATGGATAATAATTCTACGCATGAAATGCCTTCGATCTTGCCTGCCTATCAATTATTTATTCAGTGGTTCTACTGTTAGTTATGTATCAGTGGATCCACTGCCATCTGTTATGATCACTTTCTGCTCAGGACATTCCTATAGTATTGAAGTTTTCTTTGACCCCTTCTTACAGTACATACGGACTTAAGATTTATCCATGTTATTGTGGTGCATAAAAATATTAAGTACAATTGATATTCATGTTGACTATCTCCTGATTACATTCAGATAAGTCTCTCATTCTCTGAAATCTATTATATAATTGATAATCATTGGTTTGAGTCTTTGACAATGATAGCAATAAACTGGGTTATTGCTTACCTATAAAACTGGATTTGACAATCCAATTATTTTAATGTCTTTTACTGTTTCTTGTAGGCGTATTATTGACTTTGGAAGTGGAATTGACGAATTCACAATAAAGCATTTGTATGCCTCGACTGGGCCTTCTAGGTCGCTTATTGCTCAGTTTTAATACTATTATTTGCTATTTACTTTATTTATATGTGCTTCTTGTGATAAACATACGCTTTATGTTATTTCAGAGCTGAACAAACTTACGATTACACACCTCCTGAAGCTTTGCTAAATGCTACATGGTATCAAGAGTCAACAAGCTCAAATTTGAAGTATGCTTTGCTGACTTAAACATCTAGTATTTGCATTTCATTTTTTTAAAGATTTTGCTTGATTATTTGGTGGATTTAGATTTTAGACGGTATAACTGGAAAATTTTGAAGCAACCTTTCTGCTGTTACAGGTATGACATGTGGAGTGTTGGTGTTGTGATGTTAGAGATGGTCTTAGGGACACCCAATATTTTCCAGATAAATGCTTTTACACGTGCTCTTTTGGACCGCCATCTTGAGGGCTGGAATGAGGGTGTGAAGGAGCTGGCATACAAGTATGTGTGCCTTTTAGAAAGCTATAATCATAACCTTCTTTAATACCGTAAATGTTTTATGGCCCTCTCAATATTTCTCCTCTTCAAACCTTAAAGGCAGCCAAGATTAATTCTTGTATAGTGCCAAATTCAAAGTGAATATACTTGTTTTTTTTTTGTTTCCAAAGATGCCTTCTAAGCCAAAATATTTGCTGGTTGTTTTTAGTTGTAAACTCAAAACAGTGAGTTTGTAGCTCAATTCTGGTTTGTTCTGGCTGACAGGTTTAGATCATTTATGGAATTGTGCATCTTAATCCCTGGAGTTTCTGGCAGTTACTCAAAAAAGTATCACAAAGCGAATCAAGTAAGTTTACCTTCTTAGCCGGTATAGTCTCTGGTTCAGACGTAGTCAAAAGCTAATTATTTGTTTAAACTTTTCTTGCCTTAATGCATAATGTTGATTGACAATTTTTACTTTTATGTTGGAAAATGTTTTGCTGTAATATTATAAAGGAATCAGTTTTATTGATTCTTCTAAACAGAGCTTGTTTTCAACACAGATAAATAGTGACTAGTGACAAAAATAATCTTGAAAGTTCAGATCGTTATTGGTTAAGAGCTCTTGCATTCTTATACTCCCAAAGATAATAACACTGGGTAAAAATTAGGATTTAGAAAGATCAGTAGGATAGATTGAAATCATAAGAAGGTTTATCCCAGGTAGAAACCTCTCTAAAATTTCATAGCTTCACCTAAAAGATGGCTGAATACATATCCCTAGATTATTTAAATGTTTATCAACATGCCATTGATGCCAGCCCAACGTGTCAAAGCTCAAATAACTTTGAGGTTTAAAACTCATTGAAAATCACATGCTAATCTGAGACTATCTATACCTTCCTCGGTTTCGTCAATCATTTTGTATGTGGACCCTACCTAAACTGCTTTACAAATGGAATTATATTGTCTCCAATTTCCATTGAGAATTCAATTTATTCAGGATGCATTTAGAAAAATATTTGTTCATCCTAGTGAGAAACAACATGGAACAAAATCTTGGAATGAAGGAAACAACATGGAAAAATATTTGTTCAATTTTGAGTCTGTTTCTAGATTAGTCCATTCCAATGGTTCATGGATGTGGGGTCACTAAACTTACATTGAAATGAAAGAAACAAATTGTTGCTTCTCATAAAAGCCAACTTTGGAACACGGACCAAGCCATCTCAATGGTTCACAAACATGCTTTAGTTGTTAGAAACACGATTGCTTTCCAACTTTCATATCTAAAAAGCACATTGCCTACTGAATTTTTCATCTGTCATTATAGGTTGGAGTTTCGCCTGCATCCTGGAAATGCTCTGAAGAGTTCTTTTCTAGACAAATTAAGGCTAGAGATCCTCTTAAAATAGGGTTAGCTGGCTAATATTTATGCTTTTATCGTGCTATGAAATATAGTTACTCTTCTCCTAAGAAGCAATTGTTTTCTTTTCATAATATATTTGTTAGTCTTGCAGTTTTTCAAACATCTGGGCTTTACGGTTAGTGCGCCATCTGCTACAATGGGACCCGGTAAGTTTCCTGATAAGTGTTTATTGAAATTTGTGATTCTAAAGCTTGGTAACTTAAAAAATGTTGAGGATCTTAACTCATAATCTTTCTTGTCAATCTACTGGTCAAGAACTCAACTGCATTAGTTGGGTAGTACTCCCTCAATTTCAAAATGAGTCTCGTTTAAGAGAAAAAAATTGTTTCAAAATGAATGTCATTCTCACTTTTTAATGTAGTAATAATTGTTATTTTTTCAATTAGGTCTCTCAATTATTAGTCTGTACAATATTTCCAACACATTAATAAGACTAATTTAGTAAAAATACAATGTCTGATGATAATATTATTGCATTCTTTAATCTGTGTGTTAAAATCTTAAACGACACTCATTTTGAAACGGAATGAGTATGGTATTTAATGAAGGCTTCTTTACAAATTGTAGGAGGATCGGCCAAGTGTTGACGAGGCACTGCGGCATCCCTATTTCCAACCTCCGCCAAGAGGATAATTTTACAGGATACCAGAGGAATTGAAATCTTTTAATTGGTGATGCAGTACAAGAAATGATTTCAAGATCATATTTAATGGATAACAATGGTTATATGCGCTCTTCTATCACTGAATGGATCTCGCTAAACAGATGAAGATTTTTGTGTGGAAAGCACAATAAGCTACATTCTGCAAATACATGGCGTTATTAAGCTGACAATGCTGACAATATGTCACATGGAAAAGATAAAAAAGACAAGCTAACATAGCCAAATTAAATGCAATATGGGTAACTTCAAAATCCATGTCATACCTGCTACCAGTTCGGTAATTACTCAGAATGTACTAAAATTAATTTTTAAAATAAAAAAATTGGATAGATCATTTGGGGTACATGTGAGTACCTTTTGAATATAACTAATAGCTGTGTCTATAAATTTAGATTTATCTTGTACTGTAAAAAATTATAAATTTAGATTTTCTTTTTCTCTTTTGATCATATTGATACTGTTTTCATATTGTTGTATATTATTTCACTCTGCATTATAAGTAACATTTATGCGACTTCTATTATATTATATCATCTTTCTATCTTAATATTCCTAACCTATATATTTATTTCTCAACTTTCATATGATTTGTGGTGTATCAAATTAGGAAAGACCTTATTTATATTGTTTGTGTTAATGTTTTTTTTTAACAAGTAATCTAGTGGCTGTAATTCATCATTTAAAAGTTAAAAAGTGGGATTTACTATGAAAATCTATCTCTCTATATTTTTAATGAACCCATATTTTAGTTTTTTTTTTTAAATCTTACTAGTACATTCCAAACTTGTATTTTGTTGGCATTTACTATGGCTACTATTAAAGTGTTCCAATGTTCCATGATATGCTAGTGTTTTATATTGGCCGTATTCTTAAAAATTCAAAAATGTTCTTGGATAAATTTGGATATATATATATATTTGAATGTATCTTTGAATGTATCTTTTATAAAATAAATATTAAATTAGTTTGGATATGCATCTCTAAATTTATATGGAGTTAATTTGGAGATATTTATCCCAAAATACACCTGAATTAATTTACTATGTATTTTCATTGAAATTGACGCAATTGTTCTTGTATTTCGGACATGAAAATTTTATTGTGTCAATTTATAAGAGAATAAAAGCGAGGATCAAAATCCTTTATTTTAGGATAAAATATGAGATACCCACTAAAAATCTTAAATTACTTATTTTTCTATTTTATTTTATTTATTTTTCGTTTTCATTTTTTTTTAATCCAAAAAATTTTGTATTTTTATTTAATTTTATTTTATTTAATTTTTAGTTGTATTTTTAGATTTTAATAATTTTATTTTAATTGTCTTTTTAATTTTCAGTTGTTTTTCTCAATAGTAAAATTATTGATATTTTTATATTTGTTACATTAACCATGCTTGACTATTATGTCTGTCTATTCACATAAATCAAATACTAAGTATAAATAACATAACAATTTTTTTTTGAATTATTTATTTAAATATGTATCTTCGAAATTAAATATTTTTATGAAAATTATACATTCGAACTCTAAAAATAAGATAAGAGATATTTTGAAATTTTAAACAGCGGGAGAACATATAAAGGTATAATGAGAAATTTGCTTAAATTTACTGATATTTATATTACTCTGATCACATACACTTGATTATATTTTAATTCATCTCCTTATTAAATATATATTTGTTTCAGTCGACTTTAAGTCCGAGACGACGCCATACTGTCTAGTTTAGATGCGGGAAGTTTTACAATTTTGTTCTTTAGAATAAATGTCACGTTGAATTGAAGTGTATCAATTTTTAAATGAATTATTTTGGTGAGTCTGAACATATGTTATGAGAGCTTCGTCGACCACTAATAGTCATACCACCACCACCACTATTGAATACATCTTTTCTTTCTCTACGAATCTTGAGTAGTTTAAATTTTTAGACGGCTTCCGAGGAAGAAAAGAAAAACAAAAAAAAAACACAGGATCCACGTTTCTCATGGCAAGATCTATCTATTATACTATTTCTTGAATTCTGGACAAATTTGTCGGAGAGCCGCCGTCACAACCATAGTTGATTTTACTGTTACAACTTTTGCTCTTTTTTTTTTTCTTTCATCCTTTGATTTTTTTTAATTTTTTATTTTGTTTAGAAATATTGTCATTATGAGCAAGTGGGTTTTTTTTCTTCTAATTTCATGTCCACTGCAACGTGATATGGGGATGTTTTAAGTTTTCAATCAAGCAAATTTGCGATAAATAATTACTATTTTGTTTTCAATCAAGCAAATATCTACCGTGAATAGTTATTTTTAATTTTCAATCTGCAAATCCATCATCAATAATTATTTTGTAATTGGCAATCAAGCAAATACACCATGAACAATTATTTTGTAATTGTTAATCACAAATAATAACAATGCAGGAATGAATGAATCATAAGTTGTGAGAATGATGAGGTTGAAAATGTGGTGTAAAATAAGATATAATAGAGAGACCATAGTAATATCAATGAACTTAACAATCCAATAGTTGTAAAAATTATAGGCTTTTATGGACTACTTTAATACTAATTCATAAAGGCTATGTTTGAATAAGTAAAAAAGAATGGAGCGGGATGGAGCGGAGTAGGATAAAATGGAGTGGGGTGAAATAAAAATATATTTTATTGTTTGGGTAGGTCATGATGAAATACACTTATTTTGTCATTCCGTCTAAATTAAAGGGTGTAAAAAATGATGGAAAGTAATGGAATGGAATGAAATGTATTTCATCCGATAGCATTCTATTTCATTTTTTTAATCAATCCAAATGATGGAACATAACTCTATTTCATTTCATTTGGTTAATTTTCATCAATCCAAACATCCCTAAATGTCACCGAGTATTTGTATCTCTTATTGGAGCATTTAACTTGCAATCTCCCAAATTATATTTGACACTCCTCTATTTTTTATTATTCTCGAAATGTCCTTCGGTGAAATGGAAATAATTTTTTCCGAACAAAATTTTTGGTAAAATAGTGCAAATTTTCGGTATATACAAAATTTTTGGAATGTTAAAATTTCTGGTTATTCATTTGAAATTTTCGGTAAGGTAAAATTTTTCTCAAAAATTTCAAATTTACTATGCTGTAAGAAATTTAGTTGTATACTGAAATTTATGGTAGTGTATTGATTCAGAATTTAACGATCAGTATTTTGCCGATATCTTTGGAGGATTTTAATTGTACTGACAAATTTGTGTGGTCTAGAATGAATAGTTATTTGTGTAAATAGGAGCATATGTTATAGAGAAAGACATCTCAAAAAATGTCTCTTTCTCAACTTCTGATTAAAGTGGAAGTGTATTTCAACGGGGACAACCCGCCTGTTGAATTCAAATTTTCAGATAGCACCATATCCCTCGCCAATTTGAAAGACAAGAATGAATTGTTGTCTGATACTGATAACAAAAGGGTGAGAAAGATCGAGTTTCGAGAAGATTGAATTGATACAAATGGAAGAATGAAATACCACCTGATAGAGTTGAGGACTGATGAAGATGTGAAGGCCATGTGGAAATCATTTTGTCGTGGGATAACAAAGGATCCAATCGAGTTGGACGCGTGGATAATAAGATTCGTCGACGACATAATCTAGATGTTGAAACATCCCAAATCATCTGGTAGTACCTAGATTTTCATGTTTAGTTTTTTTTTTAATTTATGTTTGTTGTACTGTTTTATGTTATGTTCATCTTCGAATCGAAATATGTAATCGTGAAAATATTATACAATAAATAAGTATAGTGATAAAAAGTCTGTGTCAAAAAATGTACATATAATACAAGCAAAATATAATATATCTAAATAGGTTTTCCCATTGACTATATTTGCTAGCCTAGATAAACCTATAAAAATCTCACCATTCGGACTTACCAAATCCATGAGGTTAATTTACCTTACTGTCACAAGACCTGACATTATTTACTTTGTACAAAAATTAAGCCAATTCATGCATGAACCTAGAAAACCACATTGGGATGTTGCATTAAGAGTCCTAAGATACATCAAAGGCATTCTCGGACAAGGCATATTATTTTAAACCTCTAATGACCTTTTCTTAAAGGCTTTTTGTGATTTAGATTGGGAAGGTTGTCATGCCACTAAAAGGTCTATTACAGGATTTTGTATTTTTCTTGAAAATTCCCTCATCTCATGAAAATATAAGAAACAAGTTATTGTCTCTAGATCATCAGCAGAATCTGAATATCAAGCTATGGCTAATACATGTTTGGATCTGACTTGGCTACAATCCATATTACAAGATTTGAGAGTCCCACAAACTACAGTAACACCATTATTTTATGACAACCAAGAAAAACTACAAGCTGGTATGATTAGTCCTTCTTATGCGCTAACACGATTCCAGTTAGCAGATGTGTTTACTAAAACTTTGGGAAATGATCAATTTATCACATTGTGCAACAAGATGGGACTTCACGACATTCACTCACCAACTTGAAGGGGAGTATTACGAAATATAATTATTTTTCTTGTTAGTCTAATTGTATATTTATTTACCATTCAATTAGATCCCACTAATTCAAGACCACAACTGTCGAGCCTTAGGGTTAACATACCATTCTTCTGTAAATGTAAATATATATACAATCAGATTAACAAGAGAAAATAATTATATATATATATATATATATATATATATATATATATATATATATATATATATATATATATATATATATATGATCTAGAGGTTTATGGAATAAAAATATTTCAAAGCTTAAAGTCCAATACCTTTTCAAGAGTGGTCCTTTTAAGAGTGGTCCAATACTTAAAGTTTTAACATTTGGTGTGTAAAAGAGCATTATAAACACTCCTATTTATTTTTTATATTTCGATGTGGAAATTCATATCCTTCACTTTCATCTCGCAAAAATACTCCTGCAACTGTCTGCACATGATTCTTATACTATTAAC